AGTTCGGCGGTTCAAATCTCACCGGCTCGAGGTTTACTCAGCCTTCCATCCTTCCGAGGTGGGGGAAAGGAGGAGCCAGGCTGTGGGGGCGATATGCTGACTCTGTAAACCGCTTAGAGAGGGCTGAAAGCCCTTTGAAGCGGTATATAAGTCTAACTGCTATTGCTATTGCTAAAATAATAGTGTAGTTAGAAGCCATGTCCAAAATCAGAAGACGGAAGAAGATTGAAGCCTGGGAGGTGGGCTTTCTTCCCATAACAAATGGTTTAGTCATGGCTACTAGAGATGGTAAGAATTTTGTTCGCCACCATTAAAAGACTGGCAAGATCCGAGTCCAAACGGGAAGATAAAAAGATGGGAGCGGAAACCACCCTGAGCCCCTATACACCGAAACCCAATGCATGTTAAAACAAAGAACCACCATTCGTCACTTGAACTACAATCCACTTACCTTTCACCAGTCTGAAAAAGGCCAGTTCACAACACTCACCTCTCCCAATTTGTCTAACTTCACGTACGTCTCCAGCTTCCCAAAGCCAATCTCCGACTAAATGAAAAAAGAACAAAGTGTAATGGATCTGCCCTCTTCGGTCTGGGGTGCTTAGGGAGTCAGCAACAGCAGCAGTTGTTGACCTGCAGTACTTAGTACCGGTCCCGCACCAGTGAAGGGGGAACAATGAGAAGTAGGAAGAAGGGACAGATTTATTTATTTACCAAAGAGACTCTGCGTAACCGCCTGCTCAAGGGCTTGTCAAAGAGAGGACTGTTGAGGGTCAGCTTCTCCAGATAGCCTTCGGGCAGACGGATGTCAGCTGGGAGTGACAGGCGCTTGTTAATATCCTGGGAAGCAAGGAGAAATTAGTCCGCTTTGTTTATTAAAGCATCCCAAAATTAGAAGCCTAGATAGATGGATGGATGGATGGACTGACAGATAGTAAAAGGAAATGCACAGGGCTAGAAGTGAAGAAAGCAGAATTTCCAGTTTCTCCTGCACTAGCCTGATTAAAAAAATAATAATCATAACTTCTCCTTTAACCAGTATGAAATCTAAGCAAAGAGAAGACTAGGTAAGTCCTGAGAAGAGCATCAATAACCTTTGGATTCTTCAGGACATTTGCGGGTGATCTAGAAATCTTGGTAGGAGGAGTAGAGGGAAAGAAGAGAGAGGGGTAGAGAAGGAGTGAGAGGGGAATGGAAAGAGGGTGAGATGGAAGGGAGGGGGAGAAAGGAACGTTAGAGGGGGAGGGGAAGTAGAAGAGGGGAATGCTGAAGGGGAGAAAAGAAAGTTGGAGGGGGGAGAAAGAAAGGGTGTATGGAGGGTT